GGAAATACTCTTTCTTTGATAAGGGGAGGGGGTTAGAATATTTGCATGATACTAAACTGGAACGATGTAGGAGTCGTTAAATTTTAGGGAATATGTACTCACAGACCATTTGTTTAAATTGTTTATTTTTTAGTCTCCCATATTTTGTTGTTGTCTTTGAGGTCATCTTTGTTTGGATGAATCCCGACAACGTTAAATAACTTTCTTTTCGATGGGATTAGGAACCGATTCCTTTGGCATTTTAAGAAGGTCTGCTCGGAGGATATACGTATTTCCCAAGCAATACGATGACCTATCTCATTGCTAGTTATCCTTCACTGGGATGAACAAATTCACTGTTGCCCATAAAATTGGGAAAATATTTGTTTCTAACTTCTTTTTATGCAGTAATTGAGACAATGTGGTTTATTCTTGATAGATAAGGTTTATATCTTATCAGAACTTGATACCTCAGTTACACCACCAGCCCGACTCCACCCCGACTCGACACCGACCGGTGCTTGCCATCGGCAGTAATGTAATATTTTGTTTGGTTTGTAGTCGGTCTAGTGTAGGTGTTGTTGGCGTGACGAAGGTGTAATTGATCAATCTCTATGACTCTTTAGATTGAACAATAAACTTTATTTTTCAAGAATCAATGATATCCTCAAAACCACATCCTAAATATAATAGGGACAGTATATTAGATTTGTACAAAACAAAGTATTGGGTGCCAACTGAAGGTCGGTGACATTATAGAACATAACCGAGTCTATTAAATTTCGAGCCAGAAAGGCGTTGACTCTGTGCTAAGTATACAAGTTAATGCCCTTCTGGCTCCAAACAGACAATCCCACCATCTTTATTTGTTTATTTATTTGTTATTTATATTGAGGGGGGGGGGGGGGGGCTTGACGGTTAACAAAAAAAAAGTGTAGAATATGGCAGATTTAAGTCAGTTGGTATTAAAGAGATAATTGGGATGGCAGCGAATATAGACATACCGGTACTTAAAAGCTTTTCGTCTTGCACCTATTAGAGTAAATCGTAAGAATGATCAGAAAGCCATCATTTTGTAATTTACTCTGCTAGTCAAAAACTTTAGTTTATCTGTATTCACTGCTATTGTTGGCAGTCAATTTTTATGCAGTTATTTCAGACAACTTTCTCATACTAAAAAAAAAGGACTACACGTGGATTTTTCTTAGCAAACGTATGTAATTAATGAAAATTTAGTTTGAGAAAATCGTGGGTGTTAAACATTATTTCAACAAATTTAACAATTCTGCTGTTTTACTCTTCAGCAAAATATCTTAAGGGAACGTGGATCACATGTCTTCAACATTAAACTACTTTAACATGACCATTCTTTGCTCAGACATGTAAGTAAAATCTACTGTTCCTTTTAAAGTGTAAAGTATACCTAATTATAGTTCATAGAACACAAAGAAAGCAGGAAGGCAAGTTTCTATAGTTTCAATTAAGCTCTAAAAATGGCTTAATCTTTTAATTTCAAAAACATTTACGTGTCACAATCATCATGGATCTTCAATCAATCTCTTTTTAAAACAAAATGTACATACATGATGACTATCAGGTAACACTATAATCCTATACATAGGTAAATCTCTGAAGAAAGGCAGTAGAAATATTGACTTTCTAAAACAATGTATAAAAGAATTCTGCACTAGACACATTGACACTGATTTCTTCTTATCATTCATCAGTATGCATTGTACAATGTTATGAAAAGTGTTTAATCTGTGACTTTATCTTTTCCAGCTGATGATATTTTCTTATGATGGCAAAATGAGTTGATGAAGCTAGCAAATTATGGATATTTTCAGCATCATTAACATTTGTATAACAATATAACGGACCAGGCATACCTAACTAATTCCATCATTAGACACATGCACACACAATACAAAAATGTTCCTGTAGTATCTGTCTAAGCAACATATGGATGTTATTTTACTAATAATGGTAATTTTAATGTTCATGGGTAAAAGATAATGTACCATGCAGTGCAGCATCTGAAAGAAAGAACTATAATTCAATTTTTTCTCCATCACTACAGAATACAAAGTTACATCATGTAGTATATAGAAAGTCATGAAATATGACTGAGAAAACATTTGAAAGATCATGAACTGACCAGTTTTATTTCATTAAATCATTCATGAGCAAAGAGTATACATATCATCAATGACATTCTTTTAAGGAGATAGTCAGAGGTTTAAAATTACTTTGCATCAAGATATTGTGGATAAACAGTGATGGAATACATATACAAGTAGGTTGTATTTGTTGTATGACAGTAAACTGTTTATACTCTATAAAGAATTCACAAAATGATATAAATATCATCAAGTGAAATAGGACCTTATCTCAAGTTAACAAGAATTTAAAATGAATTTTAAAAACAACATAAAGCAACAAATATTGCCTCGATCTGCCAAAGCAATATAAGTACAGACTCCTATCTTTCTAAAGTAATATTTGCTCTTTTAATATGGATTTTCAATAAGACTTTACATTGAGACAAATAGTACATATCTCTTGATGTCTTGCCTCAGCTAGTCTTTAGTGAATGGTACATGTATCTGTTAATGGCTTGACACAATGAAAACAATGGGCAATTTGAGCTTTTAAACCGTTGACTAAATTATTGATACCATTACCAAGTTTTTGTTTGTGTTTAAAGTAAGTGAAAAATGATTTGTCCTTTATTTATTCTTCTTGACAATGTTACATATTAAAGCTTACATCTAAAAGTATTTTTCTTAAAGGCCCTTATTCAACAGTCCACCTTTAATTCTTGAGTTGAAAAACACAAAAACATCAAATTTACAAGGGGCATGAATAATTTAGTTAACTACATGAAGGAGATGACTTTGGAAAAACTTGTAAAACTTGTAAGGCTATGCTCATACATGGCCTGATAATGCCTATCTAACAAACAAAACAACAGCAAAAATTGCAGCAACATCACATGACACGTGCACTACAAATTGCTGTATCTTGTAAGTTTGTAACACTCAAATAAGTGAGTATTCATTGGCCTTTCTTGCATGCTGCATGGAGCTACTTATTTTTCAACCTCACTTGCCACTCATTTACATAGTGTCTATTTGGAGACAGAAGGGCGTTAAAATTATATAATTTGACATAGAATTAATGCCCTTCTGGCTCTGAAAGACGATGTAAGTGGTTTTGTTGAGGCGGTTTACTGTTTCATGTATGAACAAGAAATCACACAAAGTCTGAAATCAGCATTATCACAAGAAGCCAAAATGAATTTTAAGGGTGAGGACCAAAGTGTGGAGGACCTATGTTCTAGTCATATCCACAAAGATTTTGACTCCAACTTTCTACTTTTTGGAATGTAAGCCAGCCAGAATCAATGTACCTTCATTAAATTTGCCCTCAATGACGATGGACTGTAAGGATCAGGTAAACAGATAGAAATTTGAAATCAACAGTAAAACAAACAAAATAATAAATATACATTTCAGTATTTGCACAAGTGTACATCAGTTCATATCTAGTCAATCGTTCTCATAGAAATCTTAGTACACACATTTTTATATAGCTTTTCAAATAACATACAGATGCATATGTCTAGGTGGTGATATATTTATTATCATATTCTTCATCATAGAAACATCTCTTTTTTAACTTAATACAACTCACATAAAACAGATAAATAATCAGATACATAGGTTATTGTTACAAAGTGTAAGAAACAAGCATTAGTCATACAATTATTGTAATCTTCGATATAGGAAGTATGATATAAAATCAATGTTTTCCTAATACTTGCATCATACTCATATGAACCCTCTACAAATACATGTACTTCACTTATCAAAAGTGCTCACAGTTAATAATTCTTCCTTTACTTCATCTGTCTTCATTCTATACATAGAGCAGATCGAAACAAATAGTACTTTCTGGAGTAAAAACAGATATGTGCACAAATCATCATCGATATATCAATGCATAGCTTATAATGATAGGCTATAATTCACTGGTTTCTCTATCAAACATCCATTATTATGACATCTTTGTTTACGGTCAGTTTAAAACGTGAATTGATACATCATCCGAGAGGTCTGTGTAATAACAAAGTACTGGAGGGTAAATCATTTCAGCCAACTCAGTGGTGTCAAATGGCATCATCATCGTGTACAAAACAAATACACCAATAATGCCTATTTGCTCCTCACTGGTAAATGTGGACTACACAAATACCCTCTCAAATCCAACAAAATACACCACAAATATATATTTCTTGTATATAAAAATATACTTGCCTACAAGCCTAATTTGTTTTCTTCTCTATTAAATTCCTGGTGACATTTAAAATCACTTGCTCCTATGCAATACTTAGGAATGTACTTTTGTATTCCCTTTGTGTACCTGCAAAGTACTGTTAATGTTTACTGCATGATATACATAATAGAGTTGTAAGGGGAAGGGGCATTTCGCACAAGCATTTAAAGGGATAGTTGAGTTCTGTTGCAGAGGGCGCTACACAAAATAAATTTTTTGTGAGATAATGAAAAACTGAGTGTCAAATTTGAAAGAACATAATATTTAAATGACAAAATCATCTTTGTTTGATCAAAATCGGTTCAGAGACGGCTGAAATATAACGATTTCTAATACTTGTGTACCACCACAAATATTAGATATTTTGACAAATTTGAAAAAAACCGTTGAAAACGGTTGAAAAAAAACGAAATAATGCCTTTTACTTCGTATTTCAGCCAATGCCGATGTTGGCTTTTTGGTTGGCATTTTCATGTTGCTTATATTATCCAAAATCAGCCGGCTCATGTATTGTTATTTTGAATTAAATAATTAATTAACGGTCACCGTGTTTTTTTTTTAAAGTGGAGCTGAATTGGTATGATCATATTGGCTAAATTTCACAGATTTTGGAGTCTAAAATTACCTTCATAGCAATTTTAGGTTCTAAAAGGGCACTATAAATGTCATAGATAAGAATAAGAGCAATAACCATGCACTTTGAAGGCATTTGCGGTCTGAAAACAGAACTCAACTTTCCCTTTAAGAGATGATTTTTACATCTGTCAAAAAAATAATTCAACTCTGAATATTTGCAACCATATCTTTAGGGATTGTCAAATATCATAAATGTGAGTGAGACAATAACACCTACACAATGTACACTACACATAAACATAATTCATACTAAATCACTAATTTCTTAAGTATTTTAAGCAGAATTCCTCTCTGCTTGTGTTACTTATTGCAGAAATGAAAACTGTATTCACCTAGGAGCAATTATTCTTTGAATTAAAGACAGTATCACTATACAAATAATAACAGGTGGCTAAAAAATATAAGTAGATTCCTAATTTGTTTTTAACATTGCAGCAGTAAAATCGTCATCAAAATGCAGCGTTCATTAGTATCGACCGTAGCACTCTACCCACCATATTCTAATTCACCAGGATTCTTACGTGCTGTGCCGAACGAGGATCTTAATATTCAAACAGAGACACTATTTGCCTTGGTTGCACAAGCTACTAATAAGGTAGATTTCATCATAAACACGTGGTGAAAATAACACCAAAGACCTGGTCCCACAATTGTATCAACTAATGGCGCAAACTGCGTAGATGACAAAATAACAGGTAAGGTATTAAGGGAATCAGAATTTGTTACAAGCACTACATCCTCACAGAGGCTATAAGTGTACTTCAGGGCCTTGGTCCAACACCCCACTATCAGCTATAGGCACAAACTTGTTCTCAATCTTCACCAGGAGGATGGTCTTGTCTACATGAGAGCGCCTGGCCTGGTCCATGTGAAAGGGTACCCACACATGAACCACTTGTCCCTCGGCTCCGGGTGCTGGGGACCATCCCTTCCAACCGCTGGCGCCACCGTTCTGCCGCATGGTCTCGTCTGGCCACATGACAAACTTGTTGATGTTGAGACGGTCATACACCTTACACTCGTCAATGACCTGGATGAAAGAAAAAACAGAGGAAAGAATGTAAGTTTTTAAACGAAAATCAGAGACAAAATGAAAGCATGTGCATGTGTGAGAGAGAGAAAGATAGAGAGAGAGAGAGAGAGAGAGCGAGAGAAAGGGAGGTAGATACGGGGGTGGGGGGAGGAGAAAAGGGGTGACATGATGTGGAGAAAGAGAGACAGAAGTGTAAAAGGTGTAAATTGTATTGTTAAAGCAATCACACACTTTAAACAAAAGACATTGAATGTAAGAATAATTATCAATCGGAAGAAAGAAAAAGGTCAAACAGACACAATGACTTGCTTTTCTCTAAAATCAGATTTAATGGATGATGTTGTGCCAAGCTTATGAGAAACTGAACAATGTTCATTGAGCAAAGAAAACATCCAACAGGAAGAGACTTATAATTACCCAAACACTATTCATTCTGTACAGACAAACCATACTAATTAGTATTGTCCTTCAGGGTCAGGAAAAAGGTGTTCAGGTTGGATAGGTGGGGTTGGCAAAGAGGAGTAGCAACATTGCTAGAGGTTTGTAAACAATATCTTCCTGATCAATTCACTGATGGGTGATGTAACACAAGGTTGAATCAAAGTGCGCCAAAGAATGAACAATTCACAGAGATAAAGAGCTACATGACCTTTCAATTTTGCCCAAATGTTTTTGCATTTATAACGAAGCTCTCTGTATGCAATTTACATGCTCTGATTCTCAAAATCAACATAGTCCAAATCAATGGTTTTCCTCCTGTTTTGCACAAGGACTATCCTTCTACATCCACAGGGGAGACGATTTACAAACTCATAAAATGAATCTAGAGGCATTCTGCTTGGTTCATGAACCTGAGCAGATAATCATCCACAAGTTCAATCAGATTATATTAACATGAAAACAAGATTCATTAAGGGTAGTCCAGATTCTTTTCAACCACAAACCCTCCCATCTCCCTCAGGTCGAGGAAGAAGGTGGCAAGGATGGATAAATGATGGATTCACATAACATGCACATAAGATGTAGCTTGGGGTAAGTAAACAATACCTTCCTCTCTCAACCACAGATGCGCTCATAGAGGAACATTCAACACCCCCTTGGAACTAGAGGGGGTCAGAGGGGGAGGATGCTAAGATGAATTACACACCCACATTTTAATGGATTCACATTAGGTCGAATGAAACCTACATATTAAACACGATATCGGCAATTGAATTAATTACACTTGACATTTGAATAGCTTACACTTGGGGAAAGATCATTCATGGTTACTGATAGGCATTTCTCTGATATGGATTACTCTGATTATATAAAGTTACATGAATGGGCTAGTTTAACCTCCAGGAAAAACTTTATCAAATTTATATTTGTACCAAATGAAACCTCATTTGCAACTTGATACAGTTTTTGAACCCTTTGCTTACTGCCAACATCTGGAAGACCTTATTTCCTATCAATTCAACCCAGGAATACAGAGGATGACATGAGATGTCCCTTTTGAAAGTGGTGTTTTCTCAGGACAATGTTCCTCTGACCATTGGATCAACCCCTTGCACATGCGCTTGTGCACAACCACATGAATTTCAACTAAAGGAGAACATTAGGTCATTCACTCTACGCTCTCCTCCAGTTAACCTTAACGAGTCTTTCACTGATGTTTCATGTTGCGTTTACCCTCCGGTCTTCCATTGTTTTCCCGAAAGCAGGGTATGTAAACCCCTTTTTACTGCAATTTCCCTTGGAGGACTTTTGGCTAGAAGTCTTCTCCTGGTCTGGGGTTCATGTTAATCTAATCCCATGAGTGCATATTATCTGTGAGAGCCAGAAGGGTGTTGACACTGTGTAAAAGTATATGAGTTAATGCCCTTCTGGCTCCAAACAGATCATATAATCTCTAGATTCCATTTTTTCCTGATGTTCACTCTCACATGGCACTGACTTATACGACAATATGCAAACATGGAACTTAAACATTAATGACTTTGTTTTCTTAAAAATAATGGATAGGGATTAGATCAGCTCATGAACCAAACGATAGCAAAACATTACAAGCAAGAGTCTTCAAGATAAACATACATCTAATTATACCTGAACAACATCAAATTAGAACATCCCTCTGCCTTATCACCTTTCTGAAACATTTTGAAAACAGGAGCATTATCTAGATGAGATCTTGGGTTAAAAGGGCATCTCATGTCTTCATGTTCCTTGGTATGGAAGACAAATATTCTTTCAGCATGAGTAAACATGATCATAAACCGATCCTCACCTGAGCACATTGCAGGACATAGCTAATAAGGTATGACCTCCTATTATCAACAACATAGACAGCATAGGGGCTAAACTGTGGCTACCCTTGATATGTACAGCACACTTTAACCCACTGACGACAAGAAAAAGAATGTCCATATCATACTATAAAAGACAAGTATGGTTTTATCTGGTTCAGTTAGATTTATAGAAGACAACATTGAAAGCATACCTGAACTACATGTATATATTCAAAAGTAATTTGAGTGAACCTTTCCTCCATTAAGTAACAACAAATTTCCTTGATTATAGGACCTGGTAGAGTGAAATTACTTGAATGTGACCCTATAAAGATGATTGCTCACACCTTCTTCTTCTTTTACTCTATGTATTACTTCAAATAATTTCTTATGTTTTTTTTTTTTTTTTTTTGCCTTTTCACAACCCACTCATCTCCCTGTCTCTTGCTACATGTATCTCTCCCATCATTTCTCACTTCTACTATGTTATTTACACCTCTATTTAATGCTAATCAATTCTCCATTGCATTCATATTTGCAAACACCACATGTCGCAACAGTAGATAGCACCATTTGCTATGGTAACACCACCCTCCCATGGTCCCTTCCTTCACATCACACTAAACATCCAAACTCATCACTTGACCAGTTTACAGTGACTACGTAAGAACGTTTCCCCCGCCCCATGCCATTGAGAAACAAACTTCCTGTGCAAACAGACCCTAGGGACTACACCTGTGCAGAGAGACATGCCTATCTACCCATCCCACTCGCCTGTGACCAACAAATGATAGAACCAAGGCTATTTTAGGGGACTTCCCTCATCACATCACAAAAACATCACGCTTCACCCTTGAGTCCTGAAGCCCTTTTTTAAATTTTAAAATGCTTGTTGTTATCTACATGGTCTTGACAAAATTGAAAACAATGTGAATAACAAACTAGCTATGGGTCTGGTATGAATAAATTTATGCCTGTCTGTCTGAGTTTAAATTACTAAATCACTAGTTATTGATTAATTTACAATGTAGTTGATACAGTCTTCGTTCAAAAGACTTTCCACCATGAAGTGCACTTTTGCCTTAGAATTTTTCTCCTCAATTAACGGAATCAAATGCTTAGACATGTTTTGTTTTGTGTTTTTTTCCTTTTTTTCTACCAAAATACCACATTGTTTTATATAATGCTTTGCAGAGATGCATCACAGCTTGGACTGAACATTAATGTACTACTTTATCAATCTCTGCTTAATACAAGATATTAAATTGAAAATACCGTAGTTAAAACTGACGAAATGTTTGTTTTGTGAATGTAGGTTACATTGCAAAATTCATAAAAACATTTTATACAATTTCATGCCCATATCTAACTCCATACTCTCTCTTGAAAGAAATTTCCATAACAAGAATTTGGGATTTCTTTGAGAAGAATGAAAGGTATCTAGTTCTTCAATTAATGTGTAGTTATAATCATTAACCTTTTCATTAACATTTTCAAGGCTTCTGAAATGTAATAGAGTACTACATGTCTGCAAAAGGTGGTCAATTTCTGAAGTTTAAGTGACCCACTTCATTCTGACCCTATTTTTCTTTAAAACTATTTAATTAATAAGGAAGACACTGCAAGAGAGAAAATAAGGCAAGAAATAGATCCCTCTTAACCAAATTTAGCCTATATCTTTAATTAGATTAGAGCATCCTTTACCTTTCTTTATAGGATCTCTGTAGCCTGCAACCTTGCGAGTGATATAATCAAGTTAATTATGAGAGGCCTATAGTTAAAGAAGTACAGTCATTCCAGACATTTGATGCGCGAGGTCCCCTCAGGGCTTGATTGCCTTAATTATTCAATGTCAAGTTTACAAATTCTCATATCAAAATTTCTACTTTCCTACAGGTAAGCTTATTTTTGAGATCCTGATGACTACACTCAAGGCATAAGAGGATCAGAAGTACCAAGATATGTTGAGAAATCTTTGGATGATTTAAACATAAAAACTAAATAAAATAAATGTAGGAACCTGTTTTGTGAAGGCTATTTCTCTACCACTGAAATGCAATGTAATATTGTCTAAACTGGCACATGCACATTCGATTTCCAAAGAAAAACAAAAAGAAATAGTCATAAAGCATTCACACAAAAAGATTAAAAACATCATTGCCATGGGAAATGAACTTTCACAAAATATTGAATTGCTCAGGTCACATGATCATTCACACTCCTACAATGTAGCTGAATAGTTTCAGGAAAAAATAAACATCATCAACTAGTCAAATCTCAGGGAAAAGAGATGCTAAAATGGTAAAGTGGGTCATACTCCTTCTTAAATTGCAGCTTTTTAAGGTTATCATGTAGCTCACAGCGTTGTGAGGAGCAGATAGTTTTTCAATCTCAAACATGAGTATGTTTCCCATTCAAGGAAATAACACTTTGAGATCTCTCTCATGATTGCGGAGTGGTTGTGGGCTATTTGAGGGTGAGAGATGGGGTTATGGGCATGTGTGAATGAAATGAGGAATGAGTGTGAAAGAGAGGACAATCTAGATGGAGAGACACATATACAGAGTGAAGGGAACAGAAAGGCAGAGCCAGATGAAGATATATATATATATATATATAGAGAGAGAGAGAGAGAGAGAGAGAGAGAGAGAGAGAGAGAGAAAGGGGCAGAGAAAAGGGGCAGAGAAAAGGAGACAGTGTGGAGATATAAAAGTGACAGTTGGGGGT